TTTTTTTGGTACCAGGGATCGAACTCCAGACCTTGCGCTTCCAAGGCAGGCGCTGGAACCACTGAGCTAAATCCCCGGTCCTATGCCAATAACCATTGTTAACAAATTGTTAAATATAAATTAAGCACTTCAAATTGAAGTGGAGAGGAAAGAGTTAAGCCCATAGTGTAGAGGCTGAATTTGAGAGTCAGAAAGGCAGTAAAGTATTAGTTCTTGCCAGGCATGGTGGCACACATACCTGTAATGCCAGCACTTGGGAGGCTGAAGCAAGAGAATGAGTTTAAGGCCAGCCTGGGCTACATAGTGAGTTCAAAGCCAACCTCAACTATATAGCAAGACCCAAAAAAACCTCAACATCAGGGAATTTATCTCAGTGGTTCTGCCACCTGCCTCGCAAGCACCTCGCAAGTGCAAGGTCCGGAGTTCGATCCCCAGTACAAAAAAAAACCCAAACCAACAACAACAAAAAAAACAGACTTAAAGTATCTGTTCTCTGCCCGTTGCGCAAGTGCAAGGACCCAAGTTCGATCCCCAGTACCCCCCCCAAAAAAAAAGTATCTGTTCTCACTTAGACAAGTAGGGAGAAAGTTCAGAAGTAGTATTATGATCTCATGATTGCCTGTCAACTTAAATTTTAATGTAATATTTTAAAAGAATTTTTGCTGCTGCCAACTAAATTCTGCGGCAGAATTTAATAATAAATTCCCTAGAAACTTACTTGCTGCTTAAAGTGTGGTGAGTGTGGCTGCTTGATTTGTTAATATGTATTAATCTTTGTGTGTGTCAGGGGATACTGGGATTCTTGGGCTCAGACTCACGGGCACTCTGCCACTGAGCTATGACCATAGCCCCTATTTTGAAACAGGATCTCTAAGTGGCCCAGGCAGAACTTGAACTTTGATCCTCCTGCCTCGACCTCACAAAGTGCTGTGATTACAGATTTGGGCCACCACGCTTGGATTCCTTACCTTTGAATAAAAAATATCTTCTTAGGGCTGGGGATTTAGCTCGGTGGTTTCGCCGCCTGTTGCACAAGCTCAAGGACCCCGAGTTCAATCCCTGGTACCAAAAAAAAACCAACAAAAAACTGTGTATAAAAATATCTTCTTATCTTGAAAATGGAACCTTTGCTGGCCAGGGTGGCAAACATTGTAATTCCTAGCTACTGAGGAGGCTGAGGCTGGAGGGTCACAAGTTTAAAGAAAGTGTAGATAACTTAGTGAGGCCATCTCAAAATAAAAAGATGTAGTAAGTACTAGAGTGCTTGCCTGGTATATACAATTACTAGGTTCAATCTCCACTACTGCAAAGAAAAAAGAGAGACAGCTTTTACAGCCAAAATTGGTAATGTTTCATGGAAAATACACAGAATTTATTTGAACATGTTGGAATATCATTAGTAATGGAAAGGAGACAGCACTTCCTTGTGATGTGGTTTTTTAGGTACCGGGGATCAAACTCAGGTCCTTGTGCTTGCGTAGCAGGCGGCGAAACCACTGAGCTAAATCCCCGACCCTTGATGTGTGTTTTTATAACCCTATCTCCCTTTTGGCCTGAACAAGGACACCAAAGGAGATTTGCAGCGTCGGGCAAACGGGGATCCTGTGTACCCTCCACACAGCTTCCCCCAGTGGTGACATTTAAGATCAGTTTTAAATTATTCCTAGACCTCTGCATTCTTTTACAAGCCTGTATCTTTAGATGTCCAGCTTTCTTTAAGGAAAGTGTACTTGTTTCACGCCCAGTCTTTAGCTTTCAGAATTGGAATATATCACTGGGCATATGGTGGACGCCTGTAATCCCAGCATTCGGAGGCCGAGGCCTCGCCACATGTCAAGGGCCAGCCTGAGTCACATCGAGATTTCAAGGCCAGCCTGAATGACAAAGCAAGATCCTGTCTCAAAACAAAACAAAAACCATCAAACTGAAAAGTATCAGGTCAAAGGAAAGTGTCCCTGTGTTATTACTGCTTTAGTACATTTTGCTCTGCTCTTTCCGTTTCCAGTTTGTACCATCAGGTAAGAGGGGATCATGGCTTGTCTGTACTTTGTGATTCGTTTCTCCCCAGCATGTACAAGACATACATGCCATTTTACTGTGTATAGCGAAGAAACATGTTCAATTGAATATTCACATTTCTGGTTTTGAGTTTATTTTGGTGGTACTTGAAATTTTGAGGTTTTTGTATTTATTTATTGTTTTTTAAAATATCATGTCTTTTTTTTTTTCCTTCCAGCCTGAAAATGAAATTTCTTCAGATTGCAATCATGTAAGTATGGATTCTCTGTAACTCACCATATATGCTTTATATATATGATGACATATTGGGATGCTTTTCCTGTTGTTTGAGGAAGCTTTATGTTTTCTTAGATTGTCTTTTTTTTTTTTGGTACCAGGGATCGAACTTGGGTCCTTGCGCAGCAGGCGGCAAAACCACTGAGCTAAATCCCCGGCCCCTCTTAGATTCTCTTAATCTTAAAATTATGATAAACTTTTAAGAACCTTGGCAAAATCCACAAATTCCCCTTCATTGCAGAAACAGCAGGTTGTGCCAAATAATATTTATGTACTTAGGCTTAAACTTTCTTTTATTTTGGGGGGAATATTTTTTGTTTGTTTGCTTTATTTTATTTTACTCTTTTGGTCTCACTGTGTAATTTAGATTGGCTTTGAACTCACTGTGTAGCCCAGGCTGGCCTTGAATTTGTAGTGATCCTCCTGCTTCAGCCTCCTGAGTGCTGGGATTACAGTTGTGTGTGTGTAGTTAATTGATTTTTAACAAAGATGCCAAGATACTTTGGTGGGGGAAAGAAAAATCTTTATAAGAGTGGAACAACTAGAAATCACATGCAAGGAATGAATTTGAAACCCTGCCTCACACTGTGTGAAAAAACTTACACGAAAGAGCTAAATTGTAAAATTTATAGAATAAAATATAGGTGTAGGGCCAGGAATTTAGCTCAGTGGTTCTGCTGCCTGCCTTGCAAGTACAAGGTCCTGAGTTTGATCCCAGGTACCGCCCCCCCAAAAAAATATATATGTGTGTGTAAATCTTTATGAGTTTAGATTAGGCAATGCTTTCTTAGATGTGACACCTAAAAAACAAGCAAAATAGTTTGATAAATAGATAAATCTGGGCTGGGAATGTAGCTCAGTGGCACAGTGCCAAAAAAAAAAGATAAATTCACCAAAATTAAAAAATTGTTGTGCTTCATGAATACTGCCAAGCCTGGCTGTGGTGGCATATGCTTGTAATTCCAGCACTTGGGAGTCTGAGGCCAAAGGATGATGAATTTGAGGCAGCTTCATGAAGAAACCCTGTCTCAAAAGGTGAAAAATGATACTGTTAAGAAAATTGAAAGACAACCCACAAAATATGAGAAAATACTTTGCACACATTTCCTGATAAAGGAGCTAGTTAACATCGAGAATATAAAAATCTCTTACAACTCCAGAGTAAAGAAATTTAGGGTGAAGTGTGCGGCTCAGTGGTAGAGCTTGTGGTTCACATGTGACTTCCCGAGTTCAATCCCACCACCCGAACTAAAGTGGGTACTGGGTGCGAATAGACATCTCTCCCTAAAAGCCAGGACTCACAGAAGGCACTTGGCACCGTTGTCATTAAGGAAGCCCAAATCAGAGCTGTGTGAGATTCTCCTTTATACCTGCCAGGACGGCTGTAACCAGCAAGATGGGCAGGAACAGATGTCGGTGTATTCGGTACATGGAGAAATGGACGTCTGCTTACCTTGCTGGTGGGAGTGTGAAGCAACTCGCCCACTGTGGCAGACAGGGCGGCAGGGTCAGAGTTGAACAGAGTCGTGACCCATCAGTTCCTCTCTTAGGTGTTTGCCTGTCTGTCCAAAAAACATGTTTTCCACCATGACAGTCAACATGGAAGACTTCTGTGACCTCAAAAGGTGTGGGGATTTCGTCCCATCAGCAAGCAACAAATTCTACAGCAGTGAACACCATCTGGGTGTCCTCTGGTCCCAGCACTGTCTTGAGAGACTCAGTCCCCAAGACTACTGCACAAACATTTAATTTTTTAATTTTCTAATTTTATTTTTGGTATTGGGGATTGAACTCGGGACCTTGTGCTTGCAAGGTAAGCAGTGACACCACTGAGCTAATAAATCCCTGGCCCAACCACACATACATTTTAGATGCCATTGGCAAACCACCAGTGCTGTAGTCTTCCCCTTCACTTCTTTTGTTTTGTTGTAGTACTAGGAATTGAACCCAAAGACCTTCCCACTGAGATATATCTCTGTCCCTTTTTCATTTTTATTTATTTATGTGTGTATTTTATTTTGAGACAGAGTCCTGCTAAGTCACTGAGTTGCTCATGCTGGGCTTGTACTTCAGCTCCTTGTGCCTCAGTCTCCTAATTGCTGGGTTTATAGGTGTGTACCACCACACCAACTAGCCCTCTGGAATGAGCAGGGTCTTACAATTTACTCTTGGAAAAGAGTAGGTTAGAGAGTTTCTTCATGGCTATTCCAAGACAGAAAAGTAGAGGAAGATTAGAGTTTCTGTGACCTGTGTCAGGGAAAAGAAATTCTAGTTTCTATGCTCGTCTGTGAAGAGGAGGTTAAGAGCCAGGAACCATGGACAAAACCCAAAATATAGCTGGGTACAGTGGTGCACACCTGTAATCCTAGCACTTAGGAAGGCTGAGGCAGGGGAATCACAAATTTGAGTCCTGCCTGGACTAGTGAGACCCTGTCTCAAAAGAAAAACAAAAACCAAGGTTGAGGCTATAGCTTAGTGGTGGAGCACTCCTGGGTTCAATTCCTCAATACCCCAAAGACAAAAAACGAAATTAAAAAATAAGTATATGTAAATGTATCACAGTATCCAAAAATGCTGAGAACGTGCTCACATAAAAATGTGTATGTTTTTAAGCTGGGTGTGGTGGCACATGTCTGTATTCCCAGCACTCTGGGAGGCTGAGGCAGGAAAATCATAATTTTGAGCCCAATGTAGGCAACTTAATGAGACCTTGGAGCCCCCCCCCCCCCCCCAAAAAAAGAACTGAGGGTGTAGCTCAGTGTAAAGGCTCTCCATTCAATCCTCACTACCACCCCCACCAAGGCTACATTTTTAGCACCATTACTCATAATGATCTAAAAGTAGAAACAACTCAAATGTCTGTCACCTGATGAGTGATAAATAAAACATGATGTATTCATACACTGGAATATTATTTGGCACAAGTAGGGATGAAGCACTGATACATGCTACGACATGTCTGAACCTCAAGGACTGGACTTAAAAGGTCGCGTATTTACATGATTCGGTTATATGCACTGTCTAGAGTAGACAGATCCACACAGAGAGAAAGGTTATTGTTTGCTAAGAGCTGGGGGAATGGGGAAACTGGAAATGACTGCTAATAAGCGTGGAGGTTCTTTGGGGAATGATGAAAATGTTCTGCAATCAGTGATAATGTGTGCACAACCTTGTGCACGTTCACTGCCCAGTTGGACTTGGGAAGAGTAGATTTTACGGGGTGCATTATATCTATAGTCAGCACCCATGCAGTCATCACACAGCTTCAGTTATTAATTCAGATGGATCCTGTGTCTTCTCCTATCTCCTTTCCCTCCTTCTATATTATTAGTAGTAGTATTATTGGTACCAGGAATCAAACTGGGGTCCTTAAAAGTAGTTTTTTGTTTGTTTTTTTGGTACCGGGGATCGAACTTGGGTCCTTGCGCTTGCGCAGCAGGCGGTGAAACCACTGAGCTAAATCCCTGGCTCTCTCCTTCTGTATTATTTTGAAGCAGAATACAAACATCATATTGTTTCATGTGTTAATATTCCAGTAAATATCTCTAAAAGTTAAGGACTTTCAGAAAAACGTAACCACAATGCCATTGTATGTCTTAAAATTGCATAATTCCTAATCAAATATCTGGTTAGTGTTCAAATTTCTAATTTGAGCACTCATTCTGGAAGAGAATTTATCTAATTTCCTAAATAGTAGCTGTGAAAAAAACTTACAGTAAATGTGAAATATTGACAGCTTTCTACCTAAGATTGGCAACACAGCACACTTGCTCACTGTAAGAGAGGTCCTACCAGTTCAGTAAGGTGAGAAAAAAGAAAACAGGTTAGAATTAGAGAGGAAAAATTAAACTATCATTATTTATAGATGACATGGTTATATTAGTAGAAAATCCAAAAGATGAGCCAGGCGTGGTGGCACATACCTGTAATCCCAGCACTGCAGGCTGAGGCAGGAGAATTGCTGAGGATTGGAGGCTAGCCTGGGCTACATGGTGCGTTCAAGGCCAGCCCAAACTGCATGGCAAGATCCTGTCTCAAAAAAAAGAAAAAAAAATGAAAAAGAAAATCCAAAAGATAGATTATTAGCGGGTAACTAATAGACGTATTTTGTAAAATTCCTAGATAGAGTCAGTTGTAAAACTCAATTATGTTTTTATATAATAGAAATAAGTAAAAATTTTAATTGATGCTATTTGGAACAGCATACCTACATAAAATTACTTTAAAAAATATGTGTAAGACTATTCTGCAGATAGCTATAAAATATTAAGAGAAACTTGAAGAATGAAGTAAATCAATGAGCAACTGTGCTCATGACTTGGAAATCTTATTACTATGAAAATGTTAGCTCTTACTGAATTACCTGTAGATCCTTACAATTCCATATTTGTGGTTATTGAAATGATTCTGTGGCTCTAAAATGTATATGGAAACAGTGTCAAGAATAGGCAACAAGGCCGGGGATTTAGCTCAGTGGCACCGCACCTGCCTTGCAAGCATAAGGTCCTGAGTTTGAGCCCTGGTACTGCACAAAGAGAGAGAGAGAGAAACAAAAAGCACTAAACATAAATTAAAAGATTAATAAATTGAATTACATAAAATTTATTATTGGGGCTAGGATGTACCTCAGTAGTAGTAGAGCCCTTACCTAGCATGCATAAAACCTTCAATCTCCAGCGCCACACTTAAATCTTTTTTTATTAAATACAATAGTAAGGCAAGCATGGTGGTGCCCTCCTGTAATCCCAGCACTCAGGAGACTGAAGCAGGAAGATCATTCAAGTTTGAGGCCAGTCTGAACTACATAGTGTGACCCTGTCTCAAAAAAACAAAAACAAAAAAATCGAAAAACAATATTGAAAGTGAAAAGGCAAGTCATAGAGGAGAAAGTATTTTTAATATATCTGACAATAGGGCCAGGGATTTAGCTCAGTGGTTTTGCTGCCTGCTGCGCAAGCACCAGGACCCGAGTTCGATCCCCAGTACCAAAACAAAAAAAAAAACCAAAAATTAAAAAAAAAAAAAATATATATATATATATATCTGACAATATAGCCAAAATATGTAAGAACTCAAAACAGTAAAGGAAATACAAAGGAATAAAAAAATGGAGATGATATCTAATGGCATAAACATGGAAAAGAGGTGCTCAACCTCATTAGTGATCAGATACCTGCTATTAGAATCACTGAAATTGAAAAAGACAAATTTAAAAATTAAAAGGACTGACAGTGTATCAAATATTAGTATGAATAAGGAACAAGGCATCTTTTGTGCACTGCCGTAATTTAGTGCATCTACTTTCAAAGTGCTTTGGCTTTTTTTTTGGTTTTTTTTTTGGAGTTAAGGTCTCGCTATGTAGTTTAGGCTGGTCCTGAACTCACTATGTAGCCCAGGCTGGCCTCAAATTTGAGGCAGTCCTGCCTCAGCCTCCCGAGTGCTGGGATTACAGGTGTGCACCACCATGCCTGGCTGTAAAACTCTGGCATTTTTAACTAAAGCTGAAAACACAGACGTAGTGTATGGCCAGCCATTTCACTTCTAGATGTTTATCCAACAGAACTGCATATAAATCTACATAAAAGGGCATGTACAAGAACATTTGTAGCAGCTTGTAATAGCCCTATAAACCATGAGCAAAATCCTTCTAATTTATTTTCCAGTTCTGGGGATTGAACCCAGGACCTCCAGACTAAACTACATTTCCAGTCCTTTTTTTACTTTTTATATGTTGAGACAGGGTCTTGCTAAGTCAATAAGTTGCCCAGGCTGGGCTTGAATTTGCCATCCTCCTGCCTCAGCCTCCCAGAGTGCTGGGATTATAGGTGTGCACAACTGTGAATTCTAACTTCTCAGCTCAATTCTCTTAACTTGATAAGAATAAAATGTCAGTTGAATTTCTGGGCAGCATTGCTTATGATCAAAGTGACCCAGTTGGTAAATTTCATATGGACTGGAAAGAACTATAAATGAATTATAAAACCCCATAGATGTGTTGCACTTTGCACTTCCGGAATGTGGTGACTCTTGTACTTGGGTGTGTCCTTAGAAGGAGCCCAGGAAGCTATGCCAGAGGAGTGTTAAAACATTGCACTCCCCTGGGGCATACGGCTTCTAAGTGAAGGCATTTCCTTCTTGAAGAGGGACAATCAGGTGCATTCTTTTTTTTTGGTACCGGGGATCAAACTCGGGTCCTTGTGCTTGCAAGGCAGGTGGCAGAACCACTGAGGTAAATCCCCGGCCCAAGAGGGACAATCAGTGCTGCCCTGTGGGTAGTTGTGATTCTTGTCTTTTCTTCCATCCCAGGCCTTCCACAGAGTTCAACTCCAGCTGTGAAGTCCACATTTCTTTGTCTGATATTCATTTCTAGAACCAAACTTTTGATTTCCCACCCTTAAACCTTCACCTCCTACATTCTTTCCCATCTTAGTAGCCCTTTATTTTTCCTGTTGCTCAAATCAAAACCCTTCATTCCTCTCTTCCTCTCTGTCCCTATTCCCTTTGATGTATATCCCAAGTCTGACCACTGTCGCTGAGCCGAGCCTCCCATTCTCTTCTGTGAGAGCCTCCTAAGTGGTCTCCTCTTCCTGTCCCTCTGCGGTCCATGCTATGGCCTGAGTGACCTCAGTGACACGTAAGTCAGATTGTGTAACTGCTCTGCCCCAACTCTTTAAGCCTCGTCCTCACTGTTACACTCAACAGCTGTTGACGATGGCCTGTTCTCTGACCTCTTCTACCACTGTTGTCCCTTGCCCCACTTAAGCCACAGTGGCTTCCTCTTTGCTGCTCCTCAGATTTTATGTATTTATTTGTTTGTTTTTGGTACCGGGGAATCAAACTTGGGACCTCGTGGTTGCGAGGCAGGCAGCAGAACCACTGAGCTAAATCCCCAGCCCTTGTTTTTTGAGACAGGGTCTTGCTATGTATTTTGAGCTCACCTTGAACTCACTGTGTAGTCAGGCTGGCCTTGAACTCACAGCGATCCTCCTGCCTCAGCCTCTCAAATGCTGGGGTTACAGGCTTGTGCCACCATGCCCAGCCATAGACAATACCCAAGAATTGATTGTAAAGAAATTTTCCTTCATTTCTCACACCTTGGTTTTGTAATTACTTTATTCCTCCTACTTCAAATGTTTCCCATTTTTCTCCCATCCAAGTCAGTTCTTGCCTCTTAACTAATCTAACACCCCCAGTCTTGACCTTCTCCATACTTTTCTCAGAGTTGCTCTTTTGAGTGCTGGTTTAAATTATGTATTTGGGCTGGGGATTTAACTCATTGGTTTTGCCGCCTGCTGCACAAGCGCAAGGACTTGAGTTCGATCCCTGATACCAAAAAAAAACCCAAATAAATTATGTATTAGCTTCCCATTTCTTTGATATGAACTGCAGTACTCAATGTAATCTGACTCCTGTTGTCTCCCCCGTCCCTATCTTTCATACCAGCCACTCTAGCCGATTTGAAGTACGTAGGATTCCCATGCATCATCCTCACCCCTTCTTTCCTTCTACTTTTACATACCCGGAGCCCCAGTTTCCCCAGTTCATCTGACAGAATTTCTTCTAATCCCCGAGCAACAAGCCCAGGGCAACTTGATCACTCCACCTCCTCCATCACTCACTGAGGTGTGTTTTTCCTGTGTTCCCAGAGTATTGCTTATTGCTGTTCTCTTCTGGCTTCCTTCATTTGTCCTCGGATGGCTGAGCTTGTTGATGATGGTTGGGAGGCTGGAACTTATTAACTCTGTTTTGATGGAGGAAGAGACCCTGTTCATCCTTTTACTTCTTCATTGAGTCTTTCTCGGCATTCCTGGATTTACCTACTTCTTTCCATGTCGTGCCTATTGGCACTTTTCTGTGCCTCCATTCCACTTCCAGAAAGCAGATCCAGTCATGTCACCCCTTTACTTTCCTTCAGTGACCCTCCCTCTGGGGTTAAAGTTCGCACATGGCCTACAGCTTCCTGGTCTGGCCCCAGCCTGCCTTTCCCGAGTCATCCTCCCTTGGACTTTTGAGTTCCTTTACCGCCCACCCTCATTGCATGCAGCTTCATTTACTTAAAATACTTTCCCTACCCTTTTATCCTGTTGACTGATCCTGACTTTCCGGGATCATCATCGTAGATAGTGTTTTCCCTGGAAAACCTTTCCTGGCCAAACTGTCATCCCACTTCCACATGGGGTGCTCCTCCCATGCTGCCGCGGTACCCGTGATGCCATTCACAGCTCCCTGCAGTTGGCCATAGTCACTACTGAGCAGTCTGTCTCTCTTACCTTCTGCTTTATGCTGCAGTCCCTACCACAGTGCTTGTAGTGCAGTATGCACTCCATAAATGCTTGCTTCTGTCTCCTCCCAAACTCCTGGAAACTAGATTGTTTGTGGTGCCGAGCTAAGCAGATGTACTAATCCAGTGAATGGCTGGTTGCGTTCCTTTGTCCTGGAGTATAGCAGTTAGAGAGAAAGGAATGGATCCCCTCCCAAACAGTCTCTTCATGTTCTGCATTAGCTAGAGCCTCTGCTCTGCCTCTCCTACTAAACGGTTTGAAGGCTTGTAGTGCTGCTTTTCAGAAATATCTGAAGATTTAGCTCATTGGCACCATGTCTGCCTTGCAAGCACAGTGTCCTGACTTGGATCCCTGATACAGGGCGGGGCTGGGGGGGAGAAATGGAATCACTCAATAAAAATATTTAACAGAAGCTCCAAAGAGACAATAATGTTCAGCCCTCACCTAAGAATAATAATGGCTTTGGATATATTGTATTTTAGATTGCCACAGGTTAAAATAATTGTACACGACTGGGACTATAGCTCAGTGGTAGAGCCCTCCCCCAGCAACACTGAAAGAAAAAAACCAGGGCCAGGGATTTAGCTCGGTGGCCTGCCTTGAAAGCGCAAGGTCCTGAGTTCAATCCCCGGTACCAAAAAAAAGAGAAAAGAACAAAGAAGAAACAAACAAAAGGACAAAACAAGAGAAAAAAGAATGGAAGAAAAAAACAGGTAGTGTATGGTGAAGTGTTTTAAAGGAGTGAAATAGATCACTGTGGAAAGTAGACCCTGAGTGACTCCATAAAACTGATCAGTGAAAGCACTGTTGGACTGGGTTTGGTTGTGCACACCTGTAATCCCAGCACCAGGAAGTCTGAGGGAGAGGATTACTGCAAGCTTGAGGCCAGGCTGCACTGCATAGAGAGACCCTGTCTAAAAAACAAAAATGAGAAAAAAGAAAGCACTGTTGAGGGCTGGGGATTTAGCTCAGTGGTGCCCCTGCCTGCCTTGAAAGAGCAAGGTCCTGAGTTCGATCTCCGGTACTAAAAAAAACCCAAAACAATACCCAAAAAGCACTGTTGGTAATGCAATCTCAGAATCTACCCCATCTGAACTTCTGGGTTACACTTTCTGGTCTAAGCATAAGTTGCTTCTGTAATCTATTTTTTCTCTGAAAGCTTTTATCAGGGACTTAAATACTGAATTTTTTCTTGACACTAAATGATTTAAATTCATAATTTTTTTAAAAATTGGCCTTTAGTAAAAGAAAAAATGTCTGAATGCTACTGCTTTTATTTTGTCTGCAAATGGTACTGCTTTTGTTTCCCTTCTATCTGTGATGTGGTGACCTTTTGTTACCTAATGTGTAAGTATGACTCATCTGACTGTATAATTGGTTTTTATCATCTGTAGTGACCACTGATGATAAATGTCATACTATTCTAACTGGAGTCTTTTTTCCTTTGTATGGTTTTCTCTTTGAACGTAGTTGTTGTGGAATTACAAACTGAACCTGACTACTGATCCCAAATTTGAATCTGTGGCCAGAGAGGTTTGCAAATCAACCATATCAGAGGTAGGTGATAAAAGAGTTTTGTGAATACTTACGACTTAGAAGAGAAAATTAACATCTCTTGACCAGACCAGTCATTAAGAGAGGAATGACTCAGATATTTTTCTTTTCTTAGAATTCACATCTGTCTTGGTTGAGAGATAGGAAGGGGGGCGTAATTAGACTTCTTTTTGTTAACACCGCCTACACTGACAGCGGGATGCTATTGACTGGAATAGTTCAGAATCAGGTTCTCTTGGTCCCCACATGTCCGTGCACCTGCAGAGGTTATCATGGCTGCTCTCACACCTTTCACATCTGCCGTGCCTGAGGCAAATCCAAAACTTTCCCCAGGAGGCTTATAAATATTCCCATTGTTCTGGCTTGGCAGCTGGATCAATTGAACCACAGGGGCATATGCTTCAAATAACAGGAGTTAGTGCTAGGAAGGTTCCGGATATTCACAGTCATACAGTTATAAATTGATACTGAGTAGAAAGACAAAAACAAATAATGAAAATGGGTAGCACTAGGGCATGGGGATTTAGCTCAGTGGCACCTCACCTGCCTCGAAAGCCCAAGGTCCTGAGTTCAATCCCTGGTACTAGGGAAAAAAAGAAAGAAAGAAAAGAACGGAAGGAAGGAAGGAAAGAAAGAAAAAATGGATAGCACTACACAGATACTAATGGGAGAAATTTTTGAATTATTTATCTTGGCTCAATGTAAGGAACAAATGATATTAATGAAAATTGTGGGGATTTGTTTTTAGTTTTTTCGGGGGTGGTGGTGGTGGTTTTGTTTTTGAGACTGCATCTAACTATGTAGTTCAGGCTGGCCTCAAACTCGTGGCAATCCTCCTGCCTCAGCCTCTCTCAAGTGCTGAGATTATAGACATGTGCCACCATGCTGGGCTGAAAATTGTGGTATTTGAGATTTCTTTTTGGGAGGAAAGTTTTGAATCAGTAATAGAAATCCCAGAAAGCCTTAAATTTTTCCACACTAAAATATGAAAATTGTGGAGAAAACGGTTGCGGTTTTTTTACTCCAAAGTTAAAATCTGCTTGAATTGACAGTGTGGATAACATAAGTCAGAGCTCTGAAGGAAGGCCCTGTCCCACCCAGGGGCCCCTTTAGCTTGTGTTTCACATCTACATCATTTCTGGGACTAGTGGAACCTATCAATTCTAGCCCTTCCAGTACTTGATTAGACATGTTTTAGTCTTTTAAAGTCATGACCCTTCATATTTACTTTGGCTTTAGAATAGAATAGCATTGGCTTCTAGCTTTAATATTCTACATCTTAAACTCCCTTAGCTGGCTATATGACTAAACTACCAACCCAAAAATCTCAAAAAGGAAAAGTGATTACTTAGTAATAGAAAGAAATACTAACAAAGAAACAATCCCAGGCTTGAACTGTAAATAGGCTTGTATAGTCTCACTTTATTATGGAACTAAGTTGTAAGTAGGGGGCTGGGGATGTAGCTCGGTGGTGCAGCACCTGCCTGATAACCACAAGGCCCTGGGTTCAACCTTCAGTGTGGAGAAGAAAAGAAGAAAAAAACTGGTAAGTAGGTTATTTTTTCTTTTTTGGACACATTAGAATATATATACATGTTTGTTTTGTCTCATTTTATATCAGCATTAGATTGTGCAGATTAATTACCATGTGGAAATTTAATTCAGAGTATATGCATATTCATCATGATAATTTCACTCTGCATTAGGCTGCCTTCCTCATAATGTAACTAGTGATATTTTGTGGTGACCCGTGACCCTGTAACTGTGTTACAGTTTTGTAAAAGATCCAAGTAACAAGGACACCTCTCCTGTCTTATAAAGAGATTACACAGGAGTTGGGAAAATTAAGTACCATATCAGGAAGAACATAATTGTCAGAAAATCTTTTATTCAAGGGCCGGGGATTTAGCTCAGTGGTTCCGCCGCCTGCCTCGACATCGCAAGCTCCTGAGTTCAATCCCCGGTACCCAAAAGAAAAAAAAGAAAATAAAATCTTTTATTTTGTGTCACCCTTCTATTTTTTTTTTTAATTTGGGAATCCTACTTTCATGGAGAAAAGGAACATCACAAGAATACCTGCAAACAAAGCTGAGCATGGTGACACATGCCTATAATCCCAGCACTGGGGGAAACTGAGGCAGGAGGATTGCTGTGAGTTCGAGGCCAGCCTGGGCTACACAGCAAGACCCTGTCCCCTTCCCTCCCCCCAAAAAAACCCCTGCAAACCAAACTTATTTACTCTCCACAATTGAGCTAAATACTCAAGCATTTTTCTAGTGCACCTAATGAATCAGCTCCTCAGCCCCCCCCCCCATGCACCTATGGCCTAGTGCATGCTGGGCACATGCTATATCACATATTGATGTTTTAATACTAATTTTTGTTATTGTGGTATTGGGGCTTGAACCCAAGGCCTTCACTAAGCTAAGTGAGGGCACTGTGTCCCTTTCTTTTTTATCATTTAGAGATAGGGTCTCTCTGAGCTGCCCAGGAAGGACTTGAACTTGTGATCCTCCTGCCTTAGCCTCTCAAGTCCTGGGACTAGAGATGTGCATCTCGGCGCCCAGTTTATGCTGTTTTTGCTGTTAATCTTAGACTAAAGGAAAGTATTATCTAGTAGAATGGTTGAAACTTCTCATTCAGACATTATACCCTATTGTAATTAATAGTTGGTGAACTGAAATACAAATAAGTACTATGTCTCCACATCTCAGGAAAATCTCAAGTAATTGAAGCTAAATATGTTTGGCTTATTACTGGGGCTCTGATTCAAAATGTGCTCTTGGTTTTTCTACAGTTTTAAACTGCTGATTGTCCAGTATAAGGGCCCATATGAATACTTCTTTATGCCATTAAGTCCTAAAACCCAGAACTAGTCCTTTATACAGGATTTTTTTCCTGTGGTTGAATTGCAAATACTGGGATTTTGAACCGTCCATTTCCCTTTCTTTTTTTTACTTCTGAACTTAATGTTGTTTTGCTAAAAAGTAAAACAAAAGTTAGAAATACACTCAGGGCCCTGGATTTTAGGTGTTACCAAAAAAGTGTTCAAGGGGCCTGGGATTTAGCTCAGTGGTTCCACCGCCTGCCTCGAAAGTGTAAGGGCCTGAGTTCGATCCCTGGTACCAAAAAAAGTATTCAAGGTTAAGCCAAAAGAATGTTCACCTTGACTCTTGAAGATCTCTGTTGCCTCTGAAGCCATTGGCTGACTATTTAGTTAAATTCCTGGTTTTTTTCCTTAAACGTAAACAAAATCTTTTGTCTTAAACTAGGTCTAGATTTGCTGCTGGAGTTAGACCCAGTTTCCTATAGGATAACTTGTGGAATGATCTATTGCACTGATGGCAAACCTTTTAGAACTTTCAGTGTTATAAATAACTTACTGCAGCACACATCCCTTAGGTTCGCCACCACTGATCTGTTGGTTTCAAAAAACCAGTTAAAGCTGGGCATGATGGTACATGCCCATAATCCCAGCTCTTGGGAAGCTGAGGCAGGAAGATCCCTGTGAGTTTGAGGCTAGACAGGGCTACATAGTGCATTCAAGGCCAGCCTGAACTACATAGCAAGACCCTGTCTAAAAAACAAAAAGAGGTCCAGGGATGTAGCTCAGTAGTAACGTGCCTGCCTGGCAAGCGCAAGGTCCCAAGTTCAATTCCTGGTACTAGAAAAAAAAAGAAAAAATGTTGTTTTATATGAGCACAGAATACTTGTAACACAGCCACTTTGTTTTGAGCAGATTAAAGAATGTGCTGATGAACCAGTTGGAAAAGGTTACATGGTTTCCTGCTTGGTGGATCATCGAGGCAACATCACTGAGTATCAGTGTCACCAGTACATTACCAAGATGACGGCCATAATTTTCAGTGATTACCGTTTAATTTGTGGCTTCATGGATGACTGCAAAAATGACATCAACATTCTGAAATGTGGAAGCATTCGACTTGGTGAAAAGGTATCTATCTGTGAACTTGGTAAATGAAAACCATGGGTCAGCACGCAAGGGGCAAACTTCAGGACAGCAGGGATCCTACAGTTGAAATTAAAAACTTGCCTTAGGCCAGGTATTTAGTGCAGTGGCACCGCACCTGTTTCAAAAGCACAAGAGCCTGAGTTCGATCCCTGGTACCAAAAAAAAAAAAAAAAGTCAGATCCTATAGGATCTGAAACTAGTTGATCTCTGACTGTAGTGTTTGTAACAAAATATTTCAGTATTGTATGGGGAAGTAGAAGGATTAATATCAGCTAAAGGTAGTATTGCTGGGAATGGTGATATGTACCCATAATCCAGCTGCCGAGAAGGCTGAGGCAGGAGGATTGCAAGTTCAAGGCCAGCCTGGGCGACTTAATGAGACTTTCTCAAAATAAAAAACTGATAAAAAAAGCTGGGATGTAGCTCAGTGGTAGAGCACCCTGGGTTCGATCTCCAGTACAGAAAAAAATAAAAGGCATTATCTTCAAAATATTACTTATAGTGCATCTCTGGCAAATCTTTCTCTTCATGTTTGCCATAAAAAAAATTACTTAGCAAACACTGGTTCGGTTCATCTCCATCTGTAAAGTGAGATATTTAAATATTAGAAAACTTAACATGTGAAGGTATTTCTAACTTATCAGAAGAAAGGTCCTCTGAAATTGTGATATATTATTATCTTCATTTCAGAACCGATTCTAGTAAATACAGAAAATAACTCACTAGCTAGTTTCTTCTTCCTTAGTTATAGCTGTCTTATGTTTTAAATTATTAGCCTGACAAGCAGAAGGTCCCAATGGAGGATTGGCCAGGTTTATCCTGAATTTGTTCCTCAGCAAAAAAAAAAAAAAAAGGAACTCTTGAAAAGTAATGAATACCAGTGGGAGAGGGGAGAGGTGGCCTGAGACTTCTGGCATCAGCTGTTAGTTGCTGCTGCTCATTAATCTGCTGTTAAGGGCATAGGATGGAAAATAAAACCTCCCTTTCTCCCTCTTCCTCTCTCCCCCCCTCCCCCTCTCCCCCTCCCTTTCTCCTCCCCTCCCTTTCCCTCTGTCTCTATCTTTCTTTCTCTCTTCCTCTCTCCCTCTTCCTCCCCCTCTCCCCCCTCCCTCCCCCTCCCTCTCCCTATGTCTATCTCTTTACTGGGGATTGAACCCCAGGCCTTTACATTGAGCTGTATCTCCTAGCCCCTTCATTTTTTGAGTCAGGGTCTCACTTAAGTCCCTCAAGCTGGGCTCAGACTTGTGACTCCTGCCTCAGCCTCCCAGTGCTGGGATTACAGATGTGCACTGTCACAGCTAACCCATTTGTCTCTTTGCCCTCTCTTTGCTTTTGGTTTACAAGTGTCTTTGCAAAGGGAGCCTGGTGTTAGGATCTGTAACTGAGCACAGCGGCTCACATGAAGGTTTTAGTGCTGGGCTTTGTCTGGTTGTCACCAGGCCTTGGTGCCCTGTCTTTTCTATAAGCACAGGCCCCTGTCCCCTTCAGGTAACTGAGTCATCTTGAAAGTTCTATAAGCTTGGCATAAAGCTTCCAGCAACTAAAGAAAGGTCAGTTTTAATAAGGACAGATTTTTTTCCTTCCCAGAAAACTAGAAAATGACACAAAAGCCTTAAGTAACCCTGATGATTCAGGAAGCTCCTCTGACTTTATGTGGGGTGATAGAGATTATAACCAATTCCAAACCTTTCCTCTGAAAATCTCCACATAGTGTTCTAGCCATACTTTAGAGCAATCAACGATGAGATTTTTTCACATTTGTGATCCTTGGTCACAAGATAGAGTAGACAGTTTTGAAGTCCCCTTTTCTTTATAGTAGTTTTTTGGGTTTTTTTCAGTATCAGGAATTGAACTCAGGACCTTGTGCTTGCCAGGCAGGTCAGCGCCACTGATCTAAATCCAGGCCCTCTTTATGGTAGTTCTTGCCTTTGACATCAAGGTAATAGTTAATTAGCTTCCCCCAGCTCCCAAATTGTTAATGTAAAACATGGTTTAAACTGCATGTATGAGTTCCAGGTCTGCAGTGGGTTGAATTAGCAACAGGAAGTAGTCCTGCTGGAGCCAAAGGCCATGATAAAATTGTTTATTCAGGGTGTTTTGTTTTTGAGACAAGAGTCTTACTGTGTAGCCCAGGCTGGCCTTAAATCCTACCTCAGCTTCCCAAGTGCTAGGATTGTAGGCATGCACAAAGTTTTTTCCCCTTTGATAAAATAACAAAGAATGTTTGTGTGGATCATCAATGCACCTCCTGTTTGTTTCTGTCTTTTTCTGTCTCTGCCCGTTAGGTGAGCTTCCTGTTTTTATCAGCTCACCACCTTCACGTCAAGGGCTTTCTGTAGGTAGGGGACCGTGAGATGGGCTTGTGCCTGTGCTCCTGCCTCGGAGAAAGCATCTTGGTTCCTATGCACTCCCTTCCTATACAGGGTACATGCACTCAACTCTTTCTTGCTTTTTCTTTTCTTTTTTTTTTTTTTGGTACTGGGGATTGAACTCGGATCCTTGTGCTTGCGAGGCAGGTGGCGGAACCACTGAGCTAAATCCCTAGTCCCTTCCTTGCTTTTTCTAACTGTAGCTTGCATCTCCAAAGTCAGTTATCTGTATACGAAAATTATCTGGCTGCTGACCACAGGAGAGATAGGCTCATCAATCCCAAATTTGTTGCCACTGAAACATGAAAACTGACCTCCTCCAGAGGTGAGAGGAGAAGTTTGTGGTTGTCTGTTGTGCAGTGTCCATATGAACACATGAACGTCACGATTTCAAAACTATAGTAATTTTTTCCAACATATTAAATTTTAGAACAGAGAAAATATATTAGTAAAATCTGTGGAATTTTTCTAAATATTGTTAAAATAAAAGGACAGTAAGCTGGTATGGTGGTACATGCCTGTACTCCCAGCCCTTGGGAGGCTGAGGAGGGAGGATCATGTGTTCGAGGCCAGCTTGCACTGGATGGTTGAGTTCAGGACCAGCCTGAATTACATAGTAAGACCCTGTCTCAAAAAACAAAACAAAAGAAACAATAAAAGAGCCGTGTCCCAAAATTTCCAAAAGTAGAAGTGTAAATTGATTTATATCAGCCAATGAAAAAGTAGGGTGTGGCCTCAAAAGGAACTAATTGTAGACTTGTGCCATAGTACTACAGCTTGTATACTTTTTTTACTTTTATACTTTCAGTAATTATTTTTTATTGCTTTTAACCAATTACTTTGAGTAATTTAGACATTCTCTTTCTCTCGAAGTAGATTGTAGGAGACACCAGAAGCATAAAAAAAAAAAGGTTTATAGCAGAGGTGAAAACTAGGTACTTGCCTACTATTTTGTTTCTTTCTTTCTTTTTTTTTTCCAGTACCAGGGATCGAACTCGGGACCTTGTGCTTGCGAGGCAGGCTCTAGAACCACTGAGCTAAATCCCCGGCCCCTCCTACTATTTTGAATTAGGGTTCTCTTTCTCTGTGTTTTTGTTGTTGTTGTTTTAGTCTGGTTTTTGTTTGTTTGTTTGTTTTTTGGTACCGGGGATCGAACTCGGGTGTTTTAGTCTTTTAAGGATAAGAAATATGAGGAAGAAGAAAAATTATTTCAGACTTCTAAAACCTGATCAAGACACTGGCAGTACTTTTCAAGCAGACACTTTTAAACATTAATACAAATTTGTTGTGGGTTGGGGATATAGCTCAGTGGTAAGAGTGCTTGCCTAGCATATGCAAAGCCTTGGGTTCAGTCCCTAGCAAAACTCCCCCGATCCCCCATTAAGTCCATTTACAGGATCATTTGTTATTCATATGTCAAGTCAGCATATTAGTAACCAAACTATTCTAAGCTAATTTTATTTTCCCATAGATAATGTACAAGTATGTAGTTTACCTCACTCTCTTTCATTCATCTTTGATAATTAGCCATGTAGTCTTCATTGTCAGATGTTTATATACATTTCAATTATATATCTCAAATGGCTCAGAGACTCTGGGGAACTCCTGAAATATCTTTATTTGAAAAAATTATCTGTCTGAAATAATACAGTGAAAAGGTTTAATGGAAGTGGTATTGTGACCTAATGCCAATGTGAGGTGTTACAGTTGCTGTAATTAAAATGAAATCCCTTACATCTGGTAAGAAGCAGAGAAAACCAGTAAGAAACATAATATCCTAAATATTTAATTTTTCTAGTGACATATTTAAAACAATTATAAACCTAAATATACAGGGGAACACTTAGCAAGCAGAATCATTACACGGAAGTCATTTCCTTATTTTTTATAAAATGCCAGGATTAAAGGTTGAACTTCAATCAAGAGTTACCTATCATGCTATTATTTTTAACCTTCTTTTGATGCTTTGTTAGATGACTTTCTGTATGATCCGTAGTCTGTCAGATCTTATGATGAAAAAATGCAAGTCTTTTGATTCTTAGTGGCAAAAGTGTGGTTCTGTAGACTTTATACATTGTTATATGTGATCAAGATTTAATTTTTTTTAAATTGGAAGAAGAAATTTAATTGCTAGTGGCCATCTAAGTTTTTATGACCTACTAAAATTTGGACTAGGTTGCTGTTTTATAATATGTTTATAATAATCACTGGTGTACTATAACTAATAAGTGATTGTTATGTTTCTGTCCAGATCTTTATCTTTGATTTGTTTGGGAGACAGAAATATGTAGGCCTTGTTTAAGTGGTACTCATAAATTAGGAAGGAAAAAGTCAGTCTTAGTCCAAATTTCTGGGGTGTCTACTTTTCTCAGTGTCTTTATTTTGATGTTGCTTATCCCTGAGTTTTATCTCTTCACAACTGCTTTCCCAGAGCACTCTGGTCATCCCATTTCTAATCAGTGGATAAACTCCTCCGCCTAGTGAGAAAGTCAAGGTCCCACTACAGTAGGGTGGGCTGAGAATCTACTACTGCAGTGTGATTCTTTATCACTTTTGGGTCAGCAAGCCTTTTGAAAACTCAAAACTATGAACCTGCCTCAGAAAAATATACACAACCCCATATAAATTTTAGAAGTTTCATAGACCCCACCCACCCAAATTAAACCCAGGACCAGAAAAATAAATGATAGACTACTTTACATTCTGCAGCTTGGATGAGTTGCAGACTCCTGAGCCTCTGCTTATTCATCTGCACTGTAGCTACCACAACCCTGTCCCTTCTTCATAGGTAGATTAAGAGAGAACGTGGACGTTTTCATGAAAACACCTGGAAATCAATGTATTGTAGAACCAAGATAGAAAATACATATGTTTACTGAAATTTTGCCTGAAGTAGATGTTTCCCTATCTGACTTTAGGAATCTTTTTATTATATACTAATAGTTTCATAGACTTATATTTTACTGCAACATTTTATATGCATATAAATAGGTAGTAACGCTGTATTTTCACTTGCTTTGGTTTTAGTGTAGTAGTTTACCTTTTATACTGTTGTTATGTATCTCATGAGTATAGAAGTTTAGGTCACTTGAAACAATTTAGGGGAACTTTCTTCTGGTACAGGTAAATGAATGCTTGTGGTTGGTAGGGGATGATAGAAATGGTTTTAGAAGAACTTTTAGAAACAGTTTGTATAGATAGTGATAATCTTATTAAATCATGTTCAGATCAATCCAAAACATCAAAATATTGCACTCCAGCTGGCATATATTGGGGAGTTTGAGGACACTATAGAGTAGAAAAAGGAGATGAGGGGCTGGGGATTTAGCTCATTGGTTCTGCCACCTGCCTCGCAAGCACAAGGTCCTGAGTTCAATCCCCAGTACCAAAAAAAAAAAAGAAAGAAAAAGGAGACGAGATTTTATAATATCTTTGCTCAATAGATTTTGTGGTTTGTTCTGGGTTTTTAATTTTTTAATTATTTTTTGGTACTGGGGATTGAACCTAGGACTTAGCACATGCTAAGCACATGCTGTACCACTGAGCCACATCCCCCAACCAGGTTTGTCTGAAAGCACTGTTATTTAGGAAATGCCTAGCTCTTAGAGGTAAACGTATAGAGATTTGTGCAGTGTTACTTCAGTACTGACATGACCTGTGATCAGAGCGCTGAGCTGATGCCATTTCTTAAGAATTTTCAATGCTTAAGCTTTAAAAATTCAAGTTCTTACTTCTGGTACTAACCTATATTTAAAATTCCCAGTATCTTTATTTCATTCGTAGCATATGGCATATGGATTCTAACAAAGATTATTGAGGCCATTTTCTTTAATTTTCACATGTGTTTGATTCTCACTTGATTTCTCAGTAGAACATCAATAAATTAACAATAGATTGGGGTTTTTTTTCCTTAACAAAATGATGTTTATTTGAAACCCATGTAGTGAAAGTTAGAAGATATTGGTGATCTTGCTCTTCTAGGATGCACATTCACAAGGTGAAGTGGTGTCGTGCTTGGAGAAAGGCCTCGTGAAGGAGGCAGAAGAAAAAGAACCCAAGATTCAGGTCTCTGAACTCTGTAAGAAAGCCATTCTCCGGGTGGCTGAGCTGTCCTCAGACGACTTTCATCTAGACCGGCATTTATATTTTGCTTGTCGAGATGATCGTGAGCGGTTTTGTGAAAATGTGAGTCAGCTCAGAAGCTGTTCTTCTTTTCTTCCTTTTCTTTTTAAACATCTTTAATATTCTATTCTAAAATAACATAAACCATCACAAACCCTTACTGTGAAAAAGCCACTGAAATGGAAGGTGGAATTGGTCCCAAGATGACAAAAAATAGTATCGGATGCTCAGCCTTGAAGATTTAACATAGAGCTAACAGTTGGCTTCTCCAATCTCCACACATTTTTTCTACTTTATCTCACTTCTCAGTTTCAGTTCTTAGAAGTCTATTTTATGTTTAGGAATCTTATTTTACCAGGGAATCCTGTTCTGATTTATTCTGTGGCTAAAGCATACATGATTTTGGCTAAGATATAGAAAACAACAGGTTTTAATTTTTAAAACCAAATCCTTGATTACTACCTAATGACCCATTAGACAGCCCCCTCCCTCGCTCCTTCCCTCACTCCACCTCTCCCTCTGCCTCCCCTGCCCCTTCCTTGCTTTGTCAGTGCTTGGGATGGAACCCAGGGCCTTGTGGGTGCTAGACAAGTGTTCTACCAATGAATACTTCCAGCCCCATAGACAACTTTCTAACACGTCAAACAGAATTAATCTCTGTCTTCATAACATGGAACTGAGAGTGACTTGTATACACTTCGTCTCTGCCTGCTGTTTAGAATTAACAGCATTAAGTATCAGAGCCACTGAAAATAAGTTTTTTTTTACTCCAGCATTAAGTTGTCAAAAAGGAGACTCTAACACTTCTTTTGCTTCTCTAACAGTATATTTAATAGAAAGTTCCATATGGGGTTGTAGATTATGTACACCACAACTACTTAGCAAACAGTAATAATAATATGAGTGTTTCATCTTACAGACACAAGCTGGTGAAGGCAGAGTGTATAAATGCCTCTTCAACCATAAATTTGAAGAATCCATGAGTGAAAAGGTATTTGTTTGAAACAAATTAATACTTTATTAACTTTTTAAAAGCTTTCACAAATCTCTTTACAGTTGTCTCACAGTATCACAAGGACTTGATTCCAGGACTCTTCATAGATACCAAAATCCAAGAATGCTCAAGTTCCTTTTGTAAAATGAGACAGTATTTTGCACATAACCTGTCACATATACTTTAAATCCTTTCTAGATTACTTTCACTACCTAATACAGTGTAAGTGTTGTTTAAATAGTTGCTGTACTGAACTGTTTAGGGAATAATGATAAGAAAAAAGTCTGTTTTAGTACAAACACAATTTTTTCCCCCTAAATATTTTTAATCTCCAGATGCAGTGGCTGACTATGCCAAAATATAAATGACTAAGAAAACATATACACCTTTTTCAGAGTTAAGATACTTGGGTTTAAGTAGAGAACCAAAGTCTATTTGTCTGATGAAAATATAAAATGGAGCATCTCAAGTGTCCATACCAGTTGTCACTTTGATTCTAGTGAAATTTATATGGGGGATATTCTTCAAAAGAAAAAGACTACTTTTGTAGCATCAATTAGCAGTTCACTGTAGAGGTTCAGGGTTCCCCATCCATGTTCTCCTGCCTCTTCCCACACAACTTTAAGACACTTGTTCTGAATTTTAACTGAACTCACAGATAGGCATATTGGTAGCAACTGCAGGTGTTGAGATGTACTTGTCTTGGAAGTATACACATGAGCCACATGTGAGAAGTCTATAGCTGTCTTGCCCTATTTCCTCAGTGTCGGGAAGCACTGACAACCCGCCAGAAGCTGATTGCCCAGGATTATAAAGTCAGCTATTCACTGGCCAAATCATGCAAGAGTGACTTGAAGAAGTACCGGTGCAATGTGGAGAACCTTCCTCGGTCCCGGGAAGCCAGACTCTCCTACCTTCTCATGTGCCTGGAGTCAGCTGTGCACAGAGGCAAGGCTTCGTTTCTTTCTATTCATTTCATTCCTTGTTTGGATTCCCACTCCAAAGCTTCTCATACCTTTAAATGTCAATTTCCTCCTATATTTATTCCTCTAAGTATTTTTAACTTTTAAAATCCATATTATGTAGCACTTTTGAGAGTTGAGATAACATGGTTTAGCACATCAGCTTTGGGTCAGAGAGACTTGGCTTCGATTTACAGTGGACCCTTGACTTAGGAACTCAGTTCATTCCCAAGTGCTGGTTGTGACTCAGGTTGATCCGTTGAAGGCTCAGGCTCCTCTACCCAGCCTTCAAATTCTCTCTCCTGTACACAGGCAGATCTCAGGGTCCTTAGAGAGACGCTGGCCCAGGATTTCTCAGTTAACCCCACACAGGAAAGGATGTTGTAATGTTCCTTCCAGAACTCTTTAAGGGTTAAATCTGTATCCAAGACCATTTGGAAGCACGCACCCAGCATTCAGGTCCTAACTCAAGTCTTTGTTTGTAAGTTAAAACTAAAATTCAATTGTAACCCAAGTTGTTCATATGTCAGGCCTGTCATAACTCGAAGGTCCACTATATGGCTATATCACTAAACTAACTGGCTAGGTGACCATTTTTTATGTTTTTGCTTATTTGTTTGTTTTTAGTCTCTCTTAAGTTTTCCTGGTTGGCATTTATAGCTTAAAGAAACTGGGACATAAAGTAAATATTTGAAGTGTAGTCTTTTCCACAGGCTTTAAGCACAAGTAGGCCAATAGGGATTGTTCTTTCTGGCTTTCACTTTTACTGCCAGTAATTTTCTTCTTGATAAAGTTTCTGGACTGGGGATGTAGCTCAGTGTTCGTGTGCTTAGCATCCATGAGACCCTGGGTTTAATCTCCAGCACACACACAAAAAAGACTTCAGTAGCAAAACATTTGCATTATTAGTTTAGGAGTATAAAATCTATATAATGCAAACATTGGCAAGATAAACCTGAGTCTGGAGTCTTAAGCCCACTTTATGCTGCAAAAGCTTTTGCCAAGATCTAAGCTTTTCAGCTGAAATATTAACATTCCAGACAGAAATGTCTACTTTTTCCCTCGTGCTCACCCTCCTAATGTGTAACTTCCACCCTGCCTTAGGGCGACAAGTGAGCAGTGAGTGCCAAGGGGAGATGTTGGATTACCGACGTATGCTGATGGAAGACTTCTCCTTGAGCCCTGAGATCATCCTGAGCTGTCGAGGGGAGATCGAACACCACTGTTCTGGGTTACATCGGAAAGGGCGAACCCTGCACTGTCTGATGAAAGTGGTTCGAGGGGAGAAGGGGAACCTGGGGATGAATTGCCAGCAGGCGGTAAGGAAGAATGTTCTACTGCTGCCTTGAGTGTCTGTCACTTTTTTTTTTTTTTTTTAAGATTAGGAAAAATTATTGAGCGAAAGAAAGCTTCTGTCTAAGAGAGACAAAAGGGGAACCAGAGAGTGGGTTGCCCCCCAGCCTTTTTTTTTGAGTCAGAACCTCGCTGTGTATTTCAGGCTGGTCTTTAATTCACTGTGTAGCCCAGGCTGGCCTCAAACTCAGTGATCCTCCTGCCTCAGCCTCCCGAGTGGTGGGATCTCTAGTGTGTGCCACCATACCCGGCCAGAGAAGCCCATCATTTTCAGAAGTACACCATTTTTCTGATTAGACCAGGGTGGCTATGAGTGGAAAGATCTTCCTTTTGTCACCCCAGATAGCACACTTTGCTTTAGAAGTTTGTTTTTTTTTTTTGTACCGGGGATCAAACTTGGGTCCTTGCGCTTGCAAGGCAGGCGGCGAAACCACTGAGCTAAATCCCCGGCCCTAGAAGTTATTTTTGATCCAGCATTTATAAACTATAGGGCAGTTATATAATACAAAGCTAACAATATTATAGATATAATGCATCTATTTCATTATCATTATCCTTGTTTGTTGTTTTGTCCTGAATAAGAGTCTTTAAACAGTTTAAAATATCAGATGCAACAATAGTACCCTGTACAATGAACTTGCCTTTAGGAAGCACAAAAGATGATTTGCCTTTATATCCTAAAGTAGAAGGAAATTGAGTACTGAATTTTGTTCTACAATCATGTAAAATCAGAATTTCATAATCTGAAACACAAATTTCCATAGACTTGAGATATGGAGTAAAATTTCTTCTTAGCTTCTCTTACCCTGACAAGAGTAGACAGCGGTGTACGTAATTTTATACACACACACCATGGTGGGAAAAATGTAGCCTCTTCTAAAATATCCAGCCCGGCTGAAAGGAAGGCTTCTGAGACCTGCTGTGATTTGAGTGTCACAGTGTCACTGTGGCCTGGCAGGGGCGCGCTAGCAAACTTCTGTGCCAGCAAATGTGCCTGGGCTCCACACAAGACTTAAGTCGGTAGCGAGCGTATTGCTGTGTTTGATTTTCCTCCCTGATTCAGCACAGAACATTGTGGAGGAAGGTCAAGAATAAACCTGTCTTTTGACTCAGCCTACACCTGTAGTAACATATACAAAAAAAAAAAAGAAAGTAGACCGGTTTGACTTTATTTTGAGGCATCTAGTCCACTCCCAGGGCTTTTAAAATTTAGCTCTTTGAAAGAAGGAGTGACTCAACCTGAAAGATAAATAAGTAGCACCCACATCACCCTTTGTGCCCAGAAGGAAGTGCTTTCCCAACCTAGAGGAGAGCCTCAAGTAGTGAACTGCCTGGTTTTGCCTGCAGTAAGACCAGCCACTGGGGAGGAGACACGTTCTTAGGGCCCATGGTTTTAGCTTTCGTACAAAAACGGAAGGCATTTCTCCAAAGGGAGAAAAATCTCCTCAGTTGTTGTCTTCTGTATTACCCATCCTCAGTCAAATTGAGGAGTGTTTTGAAATTATTTATTTTGAGTAGGTTTCTTTCTTCTTTTCTTCTTTGGTACAGCAGATTTCAGTACCTGTTTGTGATTGACCATTAATTTTCCCAGTTTGCTGCTTGGATTGATTTAGTGATCTGCTTTGATTTAGTGATCTCTCAACAAATAGTAACCTGAAAAACATAAGGATAATTATCTTAATTGTGCATATTCTTCAGTCAATTGTGATCAAATTCATCCAATCATAGACTATTACGTTCTCTTCAGTTATGGCCAAATGAGTTCAACCCAATCATTTCAGGGCCTAATCATTCCTCCAAAGCTTTCCTCAGGGCTTCCTGGGTGTGTCAGGGGCTAGAATAGATGCACAGTCTTGTAGCAGTTCACCTTCTTTGTGTGTATTTCCCACAGTCATGGCAGTGATCCCTTGAGCCCTTAGCCTACTTGGCTCTATTTTCTCCTATTAATATGAGCTGCAGACCAGAGCATTCATCACAAGTTCTCACCGTTGCCTGTCAGCCATGGACATGTAACTGACGCAGTCCTTGCAGAGATGTCCAGACTCCTGTTTCTCCTCTTAACTGTCCTCAGAAAAGATATAACTATTTTGGTCTTTGTCAGCAAATGTCATAAATAGCATCGACTATCATTTTCCTCACCAACATAGTCTTCCTACCAGCTTACCACAGCATGTTGTAGTTTCTTCAAGTTGCCACCAAGAATCAGTATAGAGAACTTCCATCCCCTAATATTGGAAATCTTTTCTATTCCTCTCTTGATTATTGACTTCTTTTGGAGATAGCTAATAGAATTGGGTTGTGACAAATATGTGAAGGGGCTAGGGCCTTTGCATGAGCCCTGTGAAGATGGCAGGTCAGAGGTGTGCAGATCAGAGAAGGCTCCCAGAGAGGATAAGCCAGCAATACCAAAGGACCCGTTCTTTTTTTTTTTTTTTTTTTGGTACTGGGTATCAAACTCGGGTCCTTGCTCTTGCGTAGCAGGCAGCCAAACCACTGAGCTAAATCCCTGCTTGGCCCCTGTTCTTTAGCTTGGAAAAAAGGAACTCAAACCAGTAAGAATTGTAATTTTCAAATTTTCTTTCACTCATTTAAGATTCCCACCCCCAAACACCATCTTCCACCTATCTGTAGTAATAATGATCTATTATCTGTAAGGTGCTTTGCCATTTACCCAGGCTTTCCATGTAGTATTGTTTCTTGTAATCTGTAGTTTAGAAACTGAAATTTAGAGGTTAATCAACTTGTCCATGTTCTTAAAGCTAGTACCAGGCAGAGACGGAACCATTAATAGAACTTGGATTTTCTGACTTTTAATGTAAAACATTTTCCTCTGTGCCTCAAATCTCAAATCCTTTCTCCTCAAAGACAAGAGACTCTGAGGCACCTTTTCTTCTGCTTTTTTTTTTCTGTTGTTTTTGTTTTGTTTTTTGAGTTAGGGTCTCACCATGTTTTCCAATAAAGTGCTCAGGATCAATCTGGAGCCTTATGCATGCTAGGCCACTGAGCAACAACCCCAGCCCTAGGAAATCTTTTTCTTTCTGTCCAGTGAATTCTGGCTTTGCCCTGAGTGTCAGGTTTAGTAATCTGATTAACAAGAATGCAGATAAGAGGAAGGAGAGAGCCCACATAGTTATACTGTAAAGATCTGTTGTTTTACAGACTTGGGGCCATGGTTCAGAACTGTAGATAAGCAGTCTGCACAATGACTTAACAGGAAACGTGCAGCATGGTGGAGAAACCAGTCAGAACAAATTTGGCAAGAGTTCTTGAGCTTGGCCAGTGACCACTGTGTCCCTTGTTAGACAATGTTGTGATGTGCCAGCCTGAGAAGCTGATGACATTGCTGCTCTGGTGCCTGACTTTCTTCTTCTTAATTTTTAAAAATCCAGCTTCAAACACTGATTCAGGAGACGGACCCAGGTGCAGATTACCGCATTGACCGTGCTTTGAATGAAGCTTGTGAATCTGTAATACAGACAGCCTGCAAACACATACGATCGGGAGACCCAATGTAGGTTATCTTCCTTGTGGTATTCATCCATGTTGTGTTTTACTTGGCAGCACGGGAAACCTTCCCAAAATGACTTTTGGGTGGGTTATTTATATATAACATTGTGAGAGGAAATTTTTTGAGCAGGAAGATATACCAACTTTTGCTTAAAACTATATTGAAATTCAGAATTCCGATTTATCTCTGTCTCCTCCATGTTGTAGAGAGACACCTAGACCCAGCACTGTGATGATGTTTGTTGACAGTGATTGAACACATACGGCTTTATTCATAAGGTCACTTAATAACTTCCTCTAATGTAGATGGAAACCGTAGAGAGGATAAAGTGACAAGTACACTGGCACTCTGTACTTTTCATCCTGTTTGTACATTAATCCATTGTATATGTTGGCTGCACTGCAATCATTAGAAAGTAGTTCACTGTAATTGAAACAGAAAGCAAACTGATATCTGGAGGGTGTGGTCATGAACAAAATGAATACTAGGCTTATACCCAAGATCTAGGAAAGCTGAAAAATGCTATGATAAGCACTTGATTCTCTTGCATTAGTTTTATTCTGTGTGATGTGAAAACAGTTCTCAAAACCAGGTTGCAGGTAAGAACAGGTTTCCCATTCTATAAAAATCCTCATAGCTTGCAGCTGGCCATACCTCACAATATGTGAACATAGCCCAGGTTGATCATTATTCTGCTTTGTGAGAGCTCCTGGTGTTCCCTCTGTGGTAGAGAGTTTAAACTCTGTTCTTAGGGCTGGGGATTTAGCTCAGTCCTGCTCCGCCTGCCTGGCAAGCACAAGGTCCTGAGTTCGATTCCCAGTACCAAAAAAAACCCGCTATTCTTCCCTAAAGCCTTTTCTATGCATGGAGGAGAGAATACGCTTGAGACTAAGCATATTCACCAATATGCTTAATATGCTTAATGCTAATATAAAAGTAACTGCATCGACCAGAAGTGCAGGGGAAAGGGAAGAAAAGGAGAACTTTCCAGATTTTTAACAGATTTAAGATATTTTAAATAAATGCAATGTGTGGCCCTTTGCTGGGTCTTGATTTGAGAAAACATGTAAAAAGGCATGAGATAATTGGGAAATTTTAAAACAAACAGTATATTACATGATATTAAGGATTTTTAAATTTCTTAGTTGTGTGGCAACAGTATTATGTTCTCATCTTTCAGAGAAACATGCTAAAGTGTTTACTAAAGAAACGTGAGGTCTGAGATTTGCTTTAGAATACTGGCAAGGGTCTTGGAGGTAAAGCAAACTTGGCCACAGGCAGATAAAGCCATGAGCAGGGCAGGTAGCCAGTGCACCATTCTCACTTTTGTGGGTGTGGGAAAATTTTGGGGATAAATTGTTCAAAATAAAGCAGCTGTGCACAGATCTTTTGTGTGCTGAGTGGCTCCAGAGTTGATAGAAGACATAATCACTGTCAAGTTCAGTTAATTTAAGTGATTCTCAGAAAATGAATCTGAATGCCCTAGAAAAATAGCTGAAGGGCTTTTTCTACCAACCACAGGCAATATTATATGGAAGTGAGAGTTGTGAACCTGTTGACAGAACATTATCTCTTTGTTGGTATAATTCCACCTCTATTGTGGCTAGGATCCTCTCGTGCCTGATGGAACATCTCTACACAGAGAAGATGGTAGAAGATTGTGAGCATCGTCTCCTGGAGCTGCAGTATTTCATCTCCCGGGACTGGAAGTGAGTTTTTTTTTTTTTTGGTACCAGGATCGAACTCGGGACCTTGCGCTTGCACGGCAGGTGTTGGAACCACTGAGCTAAATCCCCGGCCCCATAGAAGTGAGTATTTTGAAGCCGGCATATGGCACTGCCCACCCTGTTCTCCTGCGTAGTCAGTGTCACCTTTGTGAGGGAGTGGAGGGCGTCTTGGTGATGGGGATTGAACACAGGCCTCAAGCATGCTAAGCACCTGCCCTGCCACTGAGCTACGCTCCCTTCCCCAACCTGTCTATTTTGTAACAATGGGTAGGGAATTATTTTCAGGTTCTGGGATAGCTAACACACACCTGCCATCTTACTGCTTCCAGAACAGTGACACCAGTGTCTCAGAGCAGAGTCAGTCCGCTGCAGGTCTACACCAAACGTCCCTATTCCCCACTACTTTGGATTAGAAGTCAGGGTCAAAATGTTTCTAGTGCCACAAACATCTATCTAGAAAGAACTCTGGCACCTGTGGGGGCAACAGAAACATTTTCAGATATGACTCTAAGGAGATAATAGTGCATTTATATGTTTATTGATTTGCACTGAGAATGGGAATTTGCTTTTATTTCTTTAACTATTCAAGGTTATTGAATTTATTCTATCTTGAGAGGTTCTTGTCAATAAATGGCAACTTGATTCTTGAATTCCCTTCTCATCTTGTTACCAAGAAAAGGGAGAGCTAGGTGTGGTGGTGCATTCCTGTAATTCTGGCTTCTTGGAAGGCTGAGGCAGAAGGGTTGAAAGTTTGAGGCCAGCCTGGGCAACCTAGCAATGCCTGACTCAAAATTCTAAAAGTGCTAGGGATGTAGCTCAGAGTTCCTTGGGTTCAATCCCATGTACTGAAGAAAGAAAAAAAAAAAAGGAGGAAAGGAAAGAAAGGTAGATGGGGATGAACTAGGAGGGTCTCTTCTACCATCAAAATCAGTAGTTTATTGCATTCCCCTCTTCTTCCTGTGTCTTGTTTTCTCTTCTGCCTCTAGAGCTGTCAGTACTGTGTCTGATTGCTTAAACCACTCTGTTGTGGTCAGTAACCTTTGCTGGTGATTCATCTGTTTTTCCCCATGTATTCAGTAGAACAAGGTTACCTGAAGATTTGACCTGTTTTTAGCATCTTTTCCTTCAAATTACCCCTGGAGAGGACCACAGAAAGCTGGGTTGTGACTTCCCTGTGCTTACTCCAGCCATGTAAACTGAAATAACCAAGAGTTCCCTGAGTGTGCCGCCTTAATCCAGTCTAGTTTCTCTTCTCGTTAATTCCTTCCCCCATGAACAAAAAGTGCTTCCTATGCTGGTCAAGGTGGCACATGCCTATAAATTCCCAGCACTTAGGGAGCTCAGAGGCAGGAGAATCATAAGATCAAGTCCTGTCTGGGGAACATAGCAAGACCCTGTCTCAAAAAATAAAGAAGGGGGGCCGGGGATTTAGCTCAGTGGTTCCGGCGCCTGCCTCACAAGCAGAAGGTCCCGAGTTCGATCCCAGGTACCTGAAATAAAATAAAAAAGGGGCCACGGATTTAGCTCAGTTGCACCACGCCTGTCTGGAAAGCACGAGGTCCTGAGTTCAATCCCCAGTACCAAAGGGAAAAAAGAAAAAAGGGCCAGGGGTGTAGATCAGTGGTAGAACACCCTGGGTTTGATCCCCAGTACCACCAACAAAAAAGTCCTTCATGGTCTTAGTCTACTTATTAAATATTGGCCTTTTTCTTCCCATTAAATAATTCTCTCGCAGTTGATAGTGTAATGTGGACAGAATTAAGCATCCCATAGTCTAATTTGGAGAAAAGCAGGCTTATCACTCTCCACTGTCTCCAGATTCAAAATTAAACATCCCCTTTTATAACTTGATAAGCTTATTCAGATAAACTAAAAACTCACTGCCTGACTTTACAAGAGATAAGAAGAGGAGCCGTTTTATTAGAGAAAAACTTGAGTAGAAGACTCCATTTATCTTGTTATTTCCTGATTTTGTTGAATTTAGTATATGTAGATTTGAACTACATTCATACTCAGGAAAAAGTACTTAGTAGCTCGGTGTGGTGGCACTTGGGAGGCTGAGGCAGGAGGATTGCCACGAGTTCAAGGCCAGCCCAAGGCTACATTCTGAGTTCGAGGCCTTAAATACATATCGAGACCCTGAGTTTAAAAAGAAAAAAGAAAAAGAAGTTAGTAAATCAGCCCAGGCACATGAATACCACCTTAATGTGGTATTAGGTAAGATACATAATTTATGTAGCCAAAATAACATGAAGGTAGAATGTAAGCCTTATGTGTGAAAGTTAACAAACTTCTACAAATTGGCCACTGTGTGTCTAGGGAGAACAGCATTTGAGAATATACTTTTGCTGTCTCCACTACACTGGGTGTGATTGTCAGCAAGTTACACAAGCATGCACCTGCCCGAGCCCTAAGCATGTGTGAGAAGGAAAAGCATAGGAAGTAGCAGTTCTCTTCGCACCTTACAGGCTGGACCCAGTGTTGTACCGCAAATGCCAGGGAGATGCTTCGCGGCTGTGCCACACCCACGGTTGGAACGAGACCAGCGAGCTCATGCCCCCCGGCGCCGTCTTCTCCTGTCTGTATAGACACGCCTATCGCACCGAGGAGCAGGGACGGAGGGTATGCCCGTGCCAGCAAAGCTGGCTTCTTACTTTCAATCACTTGCTCCATAGTGTTCTGGTTTCTGTCATCCCAGCGGACTTCTTTAGTATATCTGGTGGGGAGGGGATTGCACCAGCAGTTGTTTCACCAGCTTCTGCCCATCTGATTTTTAAAAGGTGAGCAGAGGAACGCTTCAAGATTTTTTCTTTAAGTTACTAAAATCTGAATCCCAGTGGACAGTTAAATTTTTTGTCCTTATTTAGCTTTAAAGATCCACTAGAAGCTTTTAGCCAGGATCCAAATGGTTTTGTTGCCTTCTGCCCTAGGGCTAGACCCACAGTGCCTGTATGAATGTGGCGGCTCTGGCGATACACTAGTCGGAGCAGACTCCCATAGTCCAGTCTCTCGGCATTTGTCTATTCTAGTTGCTACCCTCGGATGCAATGTTAGTCCATGCTTGACTCTTGGGCAGCATGAACCGCCTTGTGGTGTCAACCTGCCACGCTGTTTGCCTCGCTTTCTAAGTGAGGACTGCCTATTAACAAGGCAATCCTACATTTGTTGCAGAAGGTAGCCAGGGTATTACTTCATGTGTATTTTTACAAACAGACCTAGGCTCAGTGCAAAAGGGTGACTGGCAAGGACTCAGAAAGAGGAGACTCAAGTAGAAAAATGCTGTTCTTCAGTTGCTGCAAGCCTAACCCAGTTTTTATACTATGCAAGAAACATGGGACTTTGTTACATTTTTATTCATATAATGAGCCTGTCATTAACCCCAAGTGGTCTTATATCTGGCATCTGGCTAGTCATAACAGTATGGCATTCCTTTTCTTATGAATGAAGAAAGGGGTGGAATCATTTATTTATTTTTTGGATGTGTATGTGTGGTACTAGGGATGGAACCCAGGGCCTTTGCACTGAGCTACATCCCTTGTCCTTTTCTTACTTTATTTTGAGACAGTGTCTCACTAAGTTGCCCAGGCTGGACTTGAACTTGGCAATTCTCCTACCTCAGCCACCCAGAGGGCTGGTGTTATAGCCATGTGCCACCAGTCCTGGTTGCAATAGCTTTAAAAAAAAAACTTTAGGCCACACATGGTGGCATTCACCTGTAATCCCAGCCCAGTGGGTGGCTGAGGCAAGAGAAGCACAAGTTCAAGCCCGGGTTGGGCAGCTTTGTGACACCCTGTGTCAACAAAGGGGGTGGAGGGCCTGGGATTTAGCTCAGTGGCACCACATGTGCCTCACAAGCACAAGGTTGAGTGTGATCCCCAGTACCCCAAAAAACAAAACACAAAGGGTCCTGGGAATGCAGCTCAGTGCAGAGGCCCAGGGTGAGAGGTGGGTGTTAAAAAAAATTGAATGACATTCTCATAACATAAAATTACCCATTTTAAAGAGAAATCAGTTTGGTACCTTAACAGTATTGTGCAGTCACTACCTCTATCTAGTTTCAAAACCTTCCATGACTCCAAAGGAAACCTCATGCCCATGAAGGAGTCAGGTCCAACCCTTGCCCTCAGTGTGCTACACTTGATCTTAGCCAAAAGGCCGAGAAGCGATGAGGTGTGCCAAGTGTTCAGGAAGAGAAACTGGGTCTGCAATGACAGCTTTCTTAGAGCCCTTCCAGAATGTGCCAGCTTCCTCTTTTCTCCCTCTGTTCATCCCACATACTCACCTAGAACAGTCTGGTCCTGACCTAGTGACTTGGGCTCCTGCAGGTGCTCACTTGATTGGCCAGGTTGAACTCCTGAACCAAGTACGTGTTTTCACCTGACTTGGATCTGAGGTATCCGTATGCACAGAGTTGCAAGTTAATTTTGCTAAACAGAAACTCTAACCTAATGTGAATGGATCCAGTTCTCGGAAAAGTATGTCATTTTTTATAGTATATTAGAAAATGCCAAATGTAGAATTGCACTCCTAGAGATAGGGACTTTAAAAAAGTTTTCTGAAACATTTCTTTCTTATTCTAGAAGAGATTGTGGTATAAAGTTTCTGAAATTACATTGGTACCTCGATTCACAAACGTAATTCTTCCCATGATTCTGGTCACAGACCGAATTAGACAAGAACTGAATCAATTCAGTGGTTAGGTTCAATGTTGACCTTATGAGGAAATTTGATTCAGTTCTCATTCAGTTCGGTTTGTAACCAGAATGGTGGAGAGGATTGAGTTCGTGAACAGAGACACTGCTATAAACTACAGGGTTATTTGTTAGTTCCCTGACAACAGGTGTGCTCTGCTAGAGTCTTCATGTATAAAGGCTTTGTGGCCTTTAAAGCCTTTTGCCATTGTTTCCTGTGCAGCTCTCTCGGGAGTGCCGAGCTGAAGTCCAAAGGATCCTGCACCAGCGAGCCATGGATGTGAAGCTGGACCCTGCCCTCCAGGATAAGTGCCTCATAGATCTGGGGAAGTGGTGTAGTGAGAAAACAGAGACTGGGCAGGTAAGTGACAGGGCACCCTGATTGTCTTATGATAACAGCAGTGTTTTATGTAGGGCACACAGTGCGGTTTATCTCGGTGCTTACTTCACAGATATGATTTGTTATATTGAGTGTTCTCTAGACAAAGTGCTTAGGAAAATATTCTTTGGTCTTATATCAAGAATAATTGTATTTTTTCAAGCTGAGCTTGGTGGTACATGGCTTTATTCCCAGCGTTTAGGAGACTGAGGCAGGAAGATTGCTGTGAGTTCAAGGAGAACCTGAGCTACATAATGGTAGTGAGTTTGTGACCAGCCTGAAATACATAATGAGAGCTTGTCTCCAGAAAAAAAAAGGAAAAAAGAATAATTGTATCTTTCCTAAGTAGCTACTTTTTCTTTATATTATGGTTACTACAATTTGTAATTGATTATTTTCCCTCTTTATGTTGCCCCTTAGAAGGCTTAGAGCCAAATATATGGCCTGCTTCTAGAAAGTATATATGGCAGTTTTGTACTAGGCTTAGTACTGGCTCCATCCTGCTTTCCTTAACGTATTTTTCCTTTTCTTTCCTCTTTTTTACTCACTTTTAATTTGTTTTGTCTTGCCATTTCCTTCTTTTCTTGTTTCTTTTCTTTTTTTGGTACCGGGGATCAAACTCAAGATCTTGCGCTTGCAGGGAAGCAGCAGCACCACTGAGCTAAATCCCCAGCCCCCTTTTCTTTTTTCTTATAAGCCCCTTTAAGTCCTTTTGAGATAACCAAAGTATGCATTTATTCATATGTATGGAAATATGTACTGATATGCATGAACCGGTTACATGCCTTAGAATAGCACTATATACCTACAATTCCAGCATTCAGGAGGCTGAGGCAAGGAGATTGCTGTGAAGTCAAGGCCAGCCTGGAATAAGTAGTGAGACCTTGTCTCAGAAAACAAAATAAAAAAAGATACATAAGTGGTTCCAGCGCCTGCCTCACAAGCACAAGGTCCCGAGTTTGATCCCCGGTACCCGAAAAAAAAAAAAAAATACATAGAACTAAACTTAGTTGCCAAATTGAGTCTCAAAGAAGTGTATTGAATTCCTTACCTAAAAGTCAAGTCTAAGCCTAAGTAGCATTTGTCCCATTTATCATGCCCTGCCCATTTAGGAAAGCATGGAGGAGTAGCTCTCAAGAATTACGAGCGTGCTGTGAATTCCTTAGGATTGTGTGCTTGGTTTGGGGGAAAGAAAGAACAGCTACAGGAATGCAAGTTCCTTGGGAGTTAGCATGTCTTCCATCGTAAAGCAGGGTGATGAGCAGTGATTATTAGCTATTCACTCAAAGTTGTATTAACACTAGAACAAGGAGTAAACTTGGGCTTCCACACTCCATTTATACCTCGGCAATGTCCCTTCTGGACTGAAAGTGCTAAAAAGTCACATGTGTGGGAGCTGGACATTTAAAGAAGCAACATAGCTGCCTACTAGCTCTGCTGGGTGGAGAGATAATCTATTTCAGCAGTTTGCTTCGTGAGCCTGCTACTGTTCTGTTGGGTTTGTTAGGAAATGCCTGTCGTCTTAGCTTTCTGCTGCCTCTGTTCAGTGGAACAAAGGTTGTGTTCACACAGAATCCCAGGAGACAGTTTCCTTCATCCCCTCTGTGCAGTAAGCATCAAGAAAGTTGCACTGAGTTGCAGCCTGTTACTGAGAAGCTAAGCCTACCTAAGAAAGGGTTCTGTGAATAAAATGTTTCCCTTAGCCATTTGCTTATTTTATTCCCCAAAGTGTGGTGTTTCCCCAATCCCCACCCCATTCTGGCTGTTGTATGATTCATCTAACCCTTCTCCTATCTTCCTATTCTAATTCTAAACAGAGTCTTGCAGGGCTGGGGATTTAGCTTAGTGGTGCTGCCACCTGCCTCGCAAGTGCATGGTCCTGATTTCGATCCCTGGTACCATAAATATTTTATTTATTTTTTGGTACTGGGGATCGAACTCAGGTCCTTGCACTTGTGCACCAGGTGGTGAAACCACTGAGCTAAATCCCCTGCTTTTTAAATTTTTTTTTTTTTTTTATGTTTGTAGAATGTAATGATTGCATTCATTTTAGGGAGTTGGCAACTGTACACAACATATCTTAATTTTTTTTTTTTTTTTTGATACTGGGGATCAAACTTGGGACCTTGCGCTTGCAAGGCAGGCGCTGGAACCACTGAGCTAAATCTCCGGCCCCCCGGTACCATAAATAAATAAACAGTCTTGCAGAGTGGTCAGTAAGCTGTATAAATAGCTATTGATGTTCTTTGGGAAAGTGAGCGAAGGTTGCACTTAAACCTCTAAACCTCAGAAAGGAATAGTAGTAGACTAAGGTAGCAGGGTACTCCCAACTAGGACAAAATAGCTTTTAAATATCCAAACTCTAATGTGCTCACTTGTTTTTGGAATTTTCCTCACAGGATCCTTTTGCCATGGGCTGGGTTAGAATCCCAGATCTAACTTGCAAAAGCTTTCAGCCCTATCCTATATTCTGGGTCCCTGGTCCCCATCTATTTTGCCCATAGTCTTAATGTAATCCATGTCTTTCACTGTGAATATGTTGCTCAGTGATCATTATCAAAGTGCATATTTCAAATAGGAGGTAAAAATTACCAGAATGCAGATTAAAAATGAAATGTCAGGCTGAGCTTAGTGGGGCATACCTGTAGTCCCAGCCCTTGGAAGGCTGAGGAGGCTGAGGCAGGAGAATCACCTCGAGTTCAACACCAGCCTAGGCTACATAGTGAGTTCAAGGTCAGCCTGAACTACATAGTGAGATCCTGTCTGGAAAAAAAAAAAAAAAGGAATGGCAGAGTATTGATGGAATGGGATAAAAGCCTGGTGCAATTTTAGACTTTCAGGCCATTAGAGGTTTGACTCTTATTGGACTTGTAGATTTGGGCTTCCATGGGATTTGTACCCCCTTGGCCCTCTTGGTCACCCTGCTATATCAAGTAGTTATTTTTTCAACAGTTTGAGTGTGGGGAATCAGATAAAGCTATTGTGTTCTGTACAGTAAGGTAGTTTTAAAAGGAAAAGGAGCCAGGCATGGGGGCACATGCCTATAATCCCAGCGCTTGGGAGGCTGAGGTAGGAGGATCACCACAAGTTTTGTTGTTTTTTGTTTTTTGGGGTTTTTTTGTGGTGCCAGGGATCAAACTTGGGTCCTTGTGCTTGCGCAGCAGGCGGTGAAACCACTGAGCTAAATCCCTGGCCCTATCACCATAAGTTTGAGGCCAGCCTGAATTACAGACTGAGACCCTGTCTCCTTTTCATGTGCAGGAGCTTGAGTGCCTCCAGGACCATCTGGATGACTTGGCCGTGGAATGCAGAGACATAGTGGGCAACCTCACCGAGCTGGAGTCAGAGGTACGTGGTGTGCAGCTCCCTGAAGGAGAGGGGCTTCCGATGCTCAGTTCTGCTGTCTGCATTCTCGAGAATGTGGATCCCCTTCAGTCAGGAAGCCTAATCAGACTCTCCCCATGCTTATAAAGAAGGGCACCGTGGTGTCTCCGGACCCTTCCTCGCTGCCCTGGACAGCACTCCATGCAGTTAGTCTTTCGGTTGCCTTCACAGTTATCACAGTGGTTAGGCCTTTCTCCCCGCTAGAAGAGATAACTGCTGCACCTCACATCTACAAGTCACGTCCAAGAGTAACTCAGGCAGTTATCCCTGTTCTGTTCTCAAAACCACTAAGATATAAAATACGAGAATTTAAAACCTCATAAACGTGGGCATATTATTCAGAAATAGTTTACTACTGTGGCAAGGAGGCAGCTAAAAATGTTAAAGTTATCTTGTGGAGCAGAAATCAGAAAAATGAAAAATTGCTGGTTTTTTCATCATAAGCCTTTTCATACTAGTTGATTTGTCAAAATTGGCAAGATAAAAAAATTACATTTCTTTATTAGTTGTTTGCTTTCTAGTTTTCAAAAGTTTGTTGCCTCCTCTGGTTTTCCCACCTCTCCTCTCCCATTCTCCCTGCCCTCGTGGCTCCATGTCACTGTCTCATGGACGATGCTTCTTGCACAGCAGTGCAAGTCCTTATTTGGTCCCAGTCAGTGACCTGGTCATGAACTTAAAGCAAAAGACAGATGTCAGTTGCCACTGTTTTCAGTTTGAATTGCTTACTGGTTGCAAAACAACTCCATAGCCCTTACTTCTCTAAAATTACTGCCAGATACTTTTCTTAATTTTGCCTTACTCTTTTTTTTTTTTTTTTTTTTGGTACCGGGGATTGAACTTGGGGCCTTGTGCTTGCAAGGCAGGTGGTGTAACCACTGAGCTAAATCCCCAGCCCCTGCCTGGTCTTTTGTTGAAGTACAAGAGCCATCTGACTTTAGGAAATTTGCCTTTCAGAATACAGTGTAGGACCACTTCTGTGTATTCTGGGGCTGTCTAACTTAAATACTAGAATAGCTCCTAAAAGTACGTATTAGACTCTTTGTCCATCCATACTGCTGATTGAGGAGAAACTGCATGATTCATGTATTTAATCTACAGGATATTCAAATAGAAGCCTTGCTGATGAGAGCCTGCGAGCCCATCATTCAGAACTTTTGCCACGTAAGTGATGTCTAGAGGACCAGGATTAGAATTAATTGGGACTCTGCCCTGAGGGTGTTGGATCATCTCTGTCTTCAGCCTCATTCCTCCTGGGTGATGATAGTCAGCTTTGACAAGTAAAAGCTGGAATTGTTACAAGAACGAGAGACAGGGGTCGCTGTCCTGGGAAAGCTTGCTCGATTAGCCTCTGGAGGTGAGCAGGGATGTGGGTAGCAGCCATACTTGATGCCCTTTATAGAAGAAAAGGTGGAGCAAAGAAGCCCCGAGTAGTGTAGTAGAGTTGCTTCCTAGGATTAGTGGCTTCCCCTTCCAGTTGTATCCTTTCTACCTCAGTGGTGAGTGAATATATCCCTTACTCGCTTAGTGAACTACCTGAAGTGTGGAACCGAAACACACCCAGGAGCAATTAAGTTCTGACTGCAGGAGGCCATGTTAGATATGATCCCAAAGCCAGCTGTTGGTGTTGCATAAGGACAGTGAGTAAAAGCCCTCGGAGTACAGATGCTTGCTTCATGCAGCAAAACTTGCTGTGTAAATTTTAGTCTAGTGAATGTTTACCTTTCCTGGTTTCTCAGGCTTACTGTGAATTATTTATAATGTGTCATTTTTGTGATGCATCCAGAATCTGTCATTTTCCTTTTTTCATGGATTGAGCTACAAGTGTCACTTACTAATTGTTACAAATGCAGCTTAAGTGTGCACTGTCTTCCTCAGGATGTGGCAGACAACCAGATAGACTCTGGGGACCTGATGGAGTGTCTGATACAGAATAAGCACCAGAAGGACATGAACGAGAAGTGTGCCATCGGAGTCACCCACTTCCAGCTGGTCAGTGACACCTGGCTATTGATTTCCTGTGTCAGACTTTTTTCAAATTCAGCATTTGAATAAGAAAGTTAGACCAACCAGGTATGGTGGTATGTGGCTGTAATCCCACCTACTTGGGAGGCGGAGGCAGGAGCTTCACAACTTTGAGGCCAGCCTGGGCAGCTTAGCAAGATTCTATCTCAGAAACCACAAAGGACTAATGATGTAGCTCAGTAGCAGAGTCCTTAGTATGTATGAGGCCCCAGGTTTGATCCCCAGTACTGCAAAAAAGGAAAGAAAGAAAAGGTTAGACCAAAGTCTTTGTAGTTAAACATGTAAGGAAAGAGGTGTTTTAGCCCTGCATGTGGCACACACTTGTAATCCCAGCACCCTTGGAGACTGAAACTGGAGGATCATAAGTTTGAACCCAGCATGGGTAACTTAGTGAGACCCTGTCTTTTTTTTTTCTTTTGGTACTGGAGATTGAACTCATGTCCTTGCGCTTGTGCAGCAGGCAGCAAAACCACTGAGCTAAATCAACGGCCCCAGGTTTTTGTTTTTGTTTTGGTATCGGGGATCGAACTCGGGTCCTTGCGCTTGTGAGGCAGGCGGTGGAACCACTGAGCTAAATCCCCAGCCCAGTGAGACCCTGTCTTAAAGCAAAAAATAAGAAGAGTTGGGGATGTAGCTCAATACATCTGAATACTGGAAGGAGGGGATATTTCAGTGTAGCAGGCATTTCCTTAAAGGAACTGAGATAGTCCATCCAGTGAGATAGTATACCTCTTCTCATGGCCCACAGCCAGCCTGCATTCCACTGGGGTTAATAGCACACTACCGAGTGGTCTCTGGATTCCAGTGCCGCAATATAAAAATGACTGCACAGTCTTGGGGAGCTCAAGGGGAAAAAAGCTGAAGCAGGTTGGAGGGTGAAGCAGAAAAGGTTAATCGTGAGAGTGTCCTGCAACAAAACCCTGAAAGAGGTAATGGAGCGCACTACATGAGATCTGAAGGAGAGCACTTCCAGCCGAGGGAGCTGTGTGTCACTGGAGTGCCAGGAGGCCTGTGTCATGCCCACTACTCACTATGGCTCATCACAGATTTCCTTTCTCATCATCTTTCAGGTGCAGATGAAGGATTTTCGGTTCTCTTACAAGTTCAAAATGGCCTGTAAGGAGGATGTGTTGAAACTTTGCCCCAACATAAAAAAGAAGTATGTAGCTTTTAACTGACCTATTCTCTTTCCCCCAAGTCCCTCTTAGCCCTGTCTGAATGCCTCCATCTGTGCAGCCACTGCCTTCCAGGTCTTCACTGCTTCTAGGAGATGCCAGTGTGGCAGTCTCATGTGCTCAGCCCGTAGGCTACAGGAACAGACTCAGTCTTTCCAGGCTCAGCTACCCAACTGCGAATGCAGAGGGATTCTGTGTACTTAGAGAAGCAGTTGCACTGTGAATGCAGGTGACTGGCTTCCTCCGACCTCATCGCATGCTCTCGTCTCACTGAATTAGATATCTAGTGGCCTCACTGCATTAGATATGTAGTGAAGAACCAGAACCTTGGTACACTAAAGAATTAGGTCTTGGGGAGGAGACTGAGGAGCTTGACAGCATGGCTGCCCAAGTGCTTCCATGGTGCTCTTTGAAAGGGCACATTTCCCCTCATAAACCAGGCTCCCATGTTGCCCAGGTTTCTGGACCTCTCAGGAATGAGTTCCACAGTATGTCAAAGGCACAGCCCCAGAGCTGAGAGGAGCATCCTCTGTGGGCGGGTGTTTCTGCCAAACAAGTGTTGAGCTGTCCTTATATACATCTGGCCTTTGCTCCACCAGGAACATAACCAACATTCAGGGTGCTGCCTGACTTCCCTGACATACGACAGGCCCTTTATCCTCAGTGGTATGTTCCACCGCCCCCAACAGGTGACTGAAGCTACAGATCGCACCAGACCCTATATATGCCAGATTTTCCCTATACCTGTATACCTGTTATAAAGTAGATGTAGTAGGAGGTTAATAAGATACCAAAAAGAAGGTATAGTCTTATTAGGAAATTAGCTGAGCGGTAGATTAGCAAATGAAAATATATTCTTTTAAGATCATGATACATAGGGCCGGGGATTTAGCTCAGTGGTTCCGGCACCTGCCTCACAAGTGCAAGGTCCTGAGTTCGATCCCCGGTACCAAAAAATATTGTGAAATAGGAAGAAATCATTCACAATTATACAGAATGTGAGATACTTTGTCAATACTTAAAATGTTTTATGCAAAAAAGTATAGTAT